AGGAGTAGCCTGTTTTACCCTCTCCAGGACAAAGTTCTTCATTCTCTTAGCAGTCCATGGTATATTCAATACGGTTCTACAACACCACAGCTTAAATGCATCAATTCTCCTTCTATCATCCCTACTCATTGTTCAGCTTTCTGATTCATAGCAAGTGCATGGTCTTAGTCTCCAGATTTACATCATTGCTCATCAGTACTTTGGAGAGGTCTCTGACAGTCAACTTTCCCAATGCTATTCATCTTCTCATTTCCTGGCTGCTGGGACCAAGATTGTGGAGTCAAGTAAACTAAAGCTGTTAACAATCTCAATCTTTTTGCCATCTATCATAATGCTGCCAATTGGCTGAGTGGTAAGAATCTTTGTTTTCTTGATATTGAACTTCAATACAAGTTGAAGGTTGCAGTCCCTGACCTTCTGCAGCAAGTGCTTCAGGTCTTACACAGTGAAAATACCAGAAGCAAGACACAGTTTTACACCCAACACTTTAATTTTGAAAAGGCAATTTATAAAGGAGATACATTTGTGGGAAAACAAGAAAATCATTCTCTTCTAATTTTATTTGACTTATGATTAAACATTGCAATTCTCACTACCTTGAATGTTATGATTTTGTCAAAACCAGGAATGAGAATGTGGTTAATAGCAGAATATGTTGTTTCAGATTTGACATATGGTCAGATTCTTGGACTCATTGGGCCAAAGCCGGAATAAAGGTTTTAAGGACCCATAAAAGGAGCACTGATCAAATGTATATATGTGGGAGTTATTTGCCATATTATAGAATGAAATACGTCTATCCTCATACTCCAGAAAAATACATATTCTGGCAGGCTTCTTTTTTGTAGTAATTGGTGTCATTTGAGAGCTGAGTGCCCAGTACTCATTATTATAAAACCTGATGACCCAGAACCCATTCTGAGGTTTAAAGACAATCTTCTCCTTCCTTATTACATTATCTCTACATATTCCCAACTCCCAGGCTTTTGTATTCCCAACTTCCACCTCCCAGTAACATCTCCCTGAGGTGATAGCCTGCTGACCCAGAACACAGGGAACAGCATAAAATCTCTGTGGGTTATCAGGTAAATCTTGACGGTCCTCTCCCCAGGTTACACTTCTCTCTTCAGTCAAGATAAGGTTAGGATGGGCTGTGTCTGGATCCAGAGTCACATCCACTGAAAAGATAATGATATTTTTATCCTTAAAAAGATAAAATTAGTATGATCATAGATGTCTATATTATTTGGAAATATTTTAGAACTTCTGGAAGATATTTATGTTCTCACACTAAATCTTTCATCTTCTGCAGTATTTTGTATGACACACACCTAAAATGACAGTGTTTTAATGTTCAAGACTTGTGCATATGTTAACATAGATGGGAAAAGGAATTCTACACAAATGAATACATGAACAATTTTGAGATGACAAGATTATCCCAGATCATTCATATCAAGTCAGTGTAATCAAAAGTGTCTTTATAAGAGGAA